AGTTGAGCGTTCTGCAAGTACTCCCTTTTTTTCAAATCTTTGTTATTTTTCAGCAACTAAAATTTCCCCCCAAACGGCTCTTTGTACCCGATTGCCGGACGGCTGCTGCGATTCGCTTTCGATTATCGTCTACGCTCCCTTCGCGCGACAACTTTCTCGTGTCACGTGAGCCTGTACCAGGCCTATACCCTACGCCTTCATCAAATCCAACGGTACAAGATATAGCCTGGGTAGTAGAATTGTCGCTTTGTCCATTAACGTCATATCCTTTGCGACTACCCGGGATGACGCCGCTGGATGAAATAGAACCAGATGAATTGAGACTACTTCGTGACAGCGAGGCACCGGAAGTGCGTTGAAGAGCTAACAACTGAGCCCGCGCTTCACCTAGAGCATCGGTAAGCTCAAAGCGTTCCTCGCACTCGCGTCGAACAGTGTCTTGTAAAAAAGCGACCTTAGGAAGAAAGATGTAAGAAAGATGTAAGGTAGTTTTTTTTTTTAAAAAATAATTTTCCCTATTTCCAAATTGAGGTACACTACTTAAGAACATTTTACCCTCCCCCCTTGAGAAGAATAACCGAATAAAAGATAGGGAATGACAAGTTCAACAGAAAGGTAAATAGAAAGAAGTAGAAACAGAAGGACAGGCAGACAAATGAAGAGATGGACAGACAAACAAACTGATTAACTGAATGGCAGGCAGAGAGAAAGACAGAAAAAGAGACAGACAGTAACACAGGCTACTGATTTGAAAGAAAAACAGACAAAGAATCAAACAGCTTACAAACTCAAAAGCCAGGTAAGATAAAATATACCAATTTCAATGTGTGCAAATAAATTCAAAATAGAGTGCAAAATAACAACAATAAGTAATATAGATTCCTTTAGATATAATCTTTTATTCTTTCGCCTTACAGTTGAACTAAATTTTCAAGGACATCAAACCCTGGCGTAAGAGACAAGCAGACAGGGAGGTGGGAAGCGGACAGGCAGAAAAAAATAAACTAGTGATTTAGAAACAGAAAAGAAGAAAGCCAAGAGGAAGGTCAAGCAAGGCATTATTGACAGTCAGACAGACGGACAAACAGACAAGCTAAGAGGGACCATGTGCTACAAGACGTTAAATAATACGGATCCTGTACCTCTTGTTTCCAAGATTCACTTTTCGTCTCCAGTTCGTCAATTTGCTGCTCTGCATCTTGGAGCATCTTATCTGACTCCTGAAGCCTCGTCCTTAATTTGAGAACTTCTACGGAGTCTACCAACGGCTGACGCAGGCGATTTTCCAAATCTACGATTTTCGCTTCCAGATTTTGTACGAGTGAGTCATCGGCATTTTTTTTCTGTTCGCATTTCTCCTAGCAAAAGAAGTAACCTTCTCAAGGACGTTATACTAAGCTACCCCTAAACATTCAAATTTTCCTGGTCATTTTTCTTAAAACATGGTGGTAAGTGGGTTTCTCTCCATCAAGGCAACACGGAAGTTACAACCCTCAGGACCCATAGACTTTAAGAGTCATATTAAATAGCACGCAACATTTTTCAAGGAAAAAATTAAATTAAAACCTTTTGTAGTCTGAAGGTTTATACTTGACAAACCTACAGTGATTATGCCAGGGTTATTAGACATCATAAAAGGGGTTTGCTTACTGGTTTTGTGTTACCATGCTGTGTGATTGATATTTGCGATTAGCGCAAACCCCTTATCGTTTTCCCGCGCTTAAGATCGTTTCCTTGTTTTCTTCTCAGAGTTCTTATAGGCTCCCAGAGATAACTAATTTTTCAACTCAGAGTTTTCATTGGCTCCCAAAGATAACTAACTTTTCTACTCAGAGTTCTTATTGGTTCCCGGAGATAACTAACTTTTCTATTTAGAGTTCTTATTGGCTCCTGGAGATAGCTAACGTTTGTTCTGATTGGCCATCGTAGTTACCTTGGTTTTGTGTCACGATACTCCATCGAAAAACACTCATGAGAATCAAGGGTTCACTCACTTTAGCCTCAATCAATTCCCGTTCCAGACGTTTGACATCCTCACGGTGTCTCCAGTTCAAAGCGGCGACGTCCTCTTTAAACTAAATATAGGGAAAGTGTAAAAGAAGTGTATAAGCAAGATAGCAAAGCGACTAGTACTCCTTCTTGGCCGTTTCATGTAAGTGTACAAAATAAATCCAATTAGTCTATAATAAAATCTTCAATAAACAATATCATTTCGGTATAGGTTATTTTCCGTGCAATTTTGGTAAAACTATGAATTTCTTCGCCAAATATTTTATTTCGTTACTATCTACATGGGAGAGGACATATGGACATATATTATATAACTGCTGTGGTACCGTACGTACTCTGTCTTGTGCAGCTTTAGCCTCTTTCCTCCACAAGCCAAGCTCTTCTTGATGTTTTTTTTGTTCTTCATCCATTTCCTTTACACGAAAAGGAATAACGGAAAAACAAATCAAACCGAAACAAAAATCACTGAAGGGAATTATGAATCCGTGAAAATTTCAAAGGAAAAAAACTGTCGTGTACAATAACTTCCGCTGAAACACACGTACAGTACAAGTTGTTTTACGGCTCAGCACAACTACTTGGTGTTATAATGACTTCCCCCCCCTAAGCGTGCAGGTGGTAAGGTACACGAAATCATATCCTCTGCTGAAATTGTACGGGATAAAGAATTGGCAAACAAAGAGACAAAACAAATACAGAGATATTATACACGAAAAAATTATTGCTATTTTTAAGAAGAGAAACTTAGCAAATATTTCTGCGACATCATATTTTTCGTTTTTGCGGATCTTTGACGCGGGGATAGCGCACATGCAGTGCACCCTGAGCAAAGAAAATTTGTCGTTATCTCAACAAATCAAGCCGGAAAAAATAGTTCTCAGGAGATGGCCTCAGGACCATATGCTTTTACGTGCCTTTGTTACACCAGAATTATTAACAATTATATAATACTGCACGCGTGCAAGCCAAAGAAGCAATGTTTAGACCTATGTACCTTCTGAAATCCTTCTGTTAACTCCCTCCACAGGTTGTTTTTCTCCTCATTGAACTGTACTTCTTTTTCTTTCACAATCTTGTTAAGCTGAGATGATGAGAAAAGGTTACTGAGAAGGTTATAATGGGTTAGTTTGGTTAAACTTTATTCAAAATTTTGTCAAAAAACATTTCGAGTAGTTTTGTACCTTTTCTGGCCAAGCATCTGCTTCTTCCATTTTTTTCTTAAAGCTTTCTCTCAGTTGCTCTATACGGTTGTGATGGGCGGAAATCATCATCTCTCTGTTCACCATCCACATGCATTTAGGGAAAAAATTAATATACAAAATGATAATTACGATAATGACAATGACGATAATAATAAAAATAATGATAACGTGTGTTCATGAAGTTTTTTTTAAGTAGAGATGGTGAATAAGATAAGTATGGTATCTTTGTGCTTGTGTATTGAGTGAGTAGTGTTACAGAAAGATATGTAAGCAAAGTTAGGTACACCTGTGCATGACTAAGTTATAAATGAGTTATAGGTGAATTTTGATAAAAAAAGAAAAAAAAAACATATAATGAATTAGGAAAAAATTTAAAGCTGAAGCATTGTAAGAATTACTGTGTAGAATAATCAAAAACGTAGAAAACAACAATGAAGCCCTGATGTAATTTTTGTTTGAGGTACAGGCAGCTTGGGGTAAAATATGTGGACGTCTATGGAAAAGTAATAAAAAAAAACCCTTGCTTAATAAAATCTTGACTCAAATGGACTGCCTAAAACCTAACTACAAAAATTGAAAGTTACATTAATAAATTAAGGAATATACATAACTTGCTACACACACCTTTCTTCTTTCAGAGCTACAACCTCATTTTTTGCTTTGGAACAGGATTCCTTCAAAGCCTTCAGATAACAATATAACAGTATATAAACAACCAGTTACATGTACGTAACAAAATTTTTTTATCAAAAGGCAAAAAAAATTGTCTTTTATTAATGCAGGGTACAGTATTTAGATAACACTGTACAAGATCACTTTGTAAAGGTTTTTTATTGTTGTAGATTATGAAAATTTGCTCAAAAGAAAGGAAAAACAATGGAAAGACACAAATATTTCTATTAATAATTATTTTACTTTAACATGATAACATTTTCATTATCAGCAATCATAGTCCGGTATATATGGAATGAAGTCTACAGATTCCAATGTCATTTACAGTACCTTATTTTCATTAATAATTTTCAGTTTAACAACATAATAAACATAGTACACATCATTTGATTGGTCAATTCAGTTTCCAAGCAGATGCTCTATCAGGTTATAAAGCCTGCATGTAACTAGCTAACTAGCTAACTAGGTAACTGGCTAACCGGCTAACGGGCTAACGGGCTAATGGGCTAACGGGCTAACTGGCTATATAACTGGCTATATAACTGGCTATATAACTGGCTAAGTGGCTATATAACTGGCAAACTGGCTGACTAGCTAACTGGCTATATAACTGGCTAACTGGCTAACTGGCTAACTAGCTAACTAGCTATGTTCTCCCAACATCCTGAGTAGCTTTATCAGATCATAGAGCTGGAAAAAATTGTGTTCTGTTGTTTAGTTAGCTTAAGTGTTGAGAATTGAGCATTCAATGGGGGTTTCAGTGAAAGCTGGTCACCAAAGGTGTACCGTCACCTGTAAGATCTCTTACTACTGTCTGTTTAGCTAGCAAGCACTGGCTCTTGCGTTTGGGTTTCACCTCACAGTACAGCTGTCTATCACACTATTATCAGTCGCTTATGGAAAAAGTTATTGAAACCCCCTGATTCAATCTACATTTTCAACTCACATTTGACCACTAAATTGCAGTTGATTTTGACTCTTCAAGTGTATTCACAAAGAAGCAACTACAAAAATGAAGAAACTGAAATAAAAATGGAAGAAAGCAAGAGGAATAAAACAAATCTACCTTGATTTCCTCCAAGGAATTTGCACTTTTCTCCTCTACCTCATTTCTTGCCTTTGAGTATTCTGCAACACGTTTCTCAAGATTTTTACAATTTTCAGCTAACTGCTGAATCTGCTTCTCTTTGGATAATATGTCTGCTTTGTTTTTCTTGATTTCTTCTTCCAAAATTTCTGATTCATTTTGAAGTTTGTTTTTCCATTCACTCACTTCATTAGATTTAGCACTGAAAGGAAAAATTCAATTAGATTTACATTTTATTTTATCACATTTTACACCACCATTCAAGCTAAGACAAATTCATCATTTTTAATTAATTTTAATTCATCAACACACAAGATTGCAAGTGAATCTACATCCTAGGTTCAAAATCTATTCAATAATTATGTAATTAATTATTTTCTTTTCTAGGGTATAAACAAATGTAAGTTAAGTATTACAATCACAAATGTATAGTTAAACCACATAGCTTACTTAACTGGAGTACACAGTCAACTCAACTCTCTCTACTAAAAAAATAAAAAAAAAAAAATTGGGACTGATACCAGTGGAAGTGAGGTAAGGAAGGTGTTACATCGAGGGAGAGTTCTGCTACATACAATGTGCCTTCGTGGTGGGAACTACTGTAGGAATGTAATCTGCTGTAATCCAGGCAAATCATGTGCCCTTATCTCTTCTCCTCCCCCCACCCCCGCCCCCCTTCATGTTCCCTTTCCATAACTGGAACTAATCAGGTTTGCCTGACATTAAAAAAGTGTCAGAGTTCGACTGTTAATTGCACAGTGACCTCAGCCAGAGCTCAAGCTGGAATGTCTCCCGCTCTTACGTCTACTGTACTCCTTACCTCATCAGTTCCTTGTACTGTGATACTTCTTTGCTATAGGTGTGATTCTGCTCCTTTGTTTTGATCAATTCTTCCTCTTGGGCATCAACTCTAATTTCTAACTCAGTGCATTTTGAAGTAAGTTCCACCACCAGAGCTTCAGCTTTGGCAATAGCTTCATCTTGCATCTTTTTTTCATTTTTACACTGTTGAAAAGGTATGTAAATCATTGAGAGATTATGAAAAAACTCAACTGTATATCAGAAGGAAAAATAATAAAGTTTTAACAGACCTAAATTTTCATGAGATCAGTTCAGAACCCTACCTAATTATATAAAAACCTTAGTAGAATGCTACACAACTTGGTGTTTCTCTGACTGAAAATGCCTTAGGTTCTCACTTAGAATTGTCCTGGAAAAGAAGGACACTATATTTATATTTTAAAAAGAACTAACCTACCTTAATTAAACTCTTTTCAAGGACTTTTGTATCCTCTGTAAACTTCTCACATGAAAGAGCAACAGTTTTAATAACTTTACTGTGACTCTCTGTGATGCTCTGATAATTTTCTCCAACACTAACTTTAATGTCATTTAGTGCCGTCCTTTGTGTCTGTAATGTTTCATGAAAGGCTGAAATTTGCTTCACAAGATCAGTCAACTTCAACTGAATCCTCCTGACTTCCTCACTCTTTCTCTCAAGTTGCTTTCCAAGATTATCTCTCTCTTGTTTATAGTTTTCAATCAGGTTTTGCTTTGACGTTAAATCTTGCACCAAAATCTTGGTCCTGCCAACACGATTTTATGACATTATAATCAACTAATGACAGACCAACATTCGATCAGCTCACATTTTAGTAAATTAAGGTCAGTTGTTAAGACATGAGTTTTGTTTTCCTGTAGTACGCTGTAGATTGAAGCCTCCTGTAGGCATTTAGTCCTGATAAGTAACACTAAAATTAGGGTTTGTAGAGAATAAATTAAAACATTTCCTATATGCTATGGAAGTTACCCATATTTGTTGAATAAATTGAATTGTAGGTCTGACCAACTAGCAAGTGAACTGAAATCATGGAAGAAATGAGATAAACCAAAACAATATTGGTCTAATTGAGTATTGTAAGTCTAGCAATTGGCTGTAACCCTGGATTTATACTCCTGGGTGAAAGTATATATTTTATATCTTATTAGAGGTTTTGTTGTGTAGTATCACTGAATATTTTAATTTATAAGTTGTGCCATAATTTGACAAGCCTGTAGGGTGCATTTAAATACAAACAATGAGTAAAAAATTAATACTCAGTGATACTATACAACAAAATGTCTAACAAGTTATTTATTATCCATTGCACCAAATTGTTATTTCAGTGAGGGTGAATTTCATGGATATTAATTTTAGTTGCAGGAAGTGTGTGACAGAGGTGTGTTTCAGAAATCAAATCAAACTTCACACTAGCCTTGTGTTACTTTAACCCAGCTTTGAACAACCCAGCCCAGTGCACTCAGACCATCGGTCCACCACTCCTCCCAAAATAGAGAGTGAAGGACAGAGCTGAATAACGTATACGCATGTGCCAGGTTTTGCCGTGGAAACACGGATTTTGAGTCGTTTGCATGGTTGATTTCCTATTCTGTTGCTTCGAGGCGTCGTTTTCCTTGCCGCTTTTCTTTTACAGAACCTCCAAAAATTTGGTACACCCCCTGAAAATTTTCAAAAATTAATTTTCTCCTTTAAACCTTTGGAAATAGGAAAGTGCCTTCGACGAAAACAGAGTTCCTCGGTTTTAAAGGTCAGCCCTTATTATTTTCTGCTAATTTCGCTAAATTTTAGACCTAGGACACTTGAGCCCGCTTTGTTGACCGCATACCCGCTGACGTAGCATTTCATTATTCAGCTCTGTCAGAGTGAAGTACATAATTTCAGACACACACATTTGATTAAACAAGAATGCATCACTCGGCAAGAGTACCATATAACCCCATACATTAATTATGCATTCAGACTAGTAGACTTTGTTTTTAAAGTTTTGTCCTGAAAGACAAAGAAGTGGAATGCATAATTAATGTATGGGGTTATATGGTACTCTTTCTGCATCACTCTCTTGGAAAACAATCTTAAACAAGACATTGCTTGACTATCTTAGTTATCACCTTTCATCACTTGCTTGCAATGCCCTTGAAAGCTTATCACTCTCTTCTTCCATACTAGCCACTTTAATTTTGAGTTTTTCTTCCCGCTCTACGCTTTCAACATAGTATTGCATTTTCCTCTCGGCTTCTTTGACACGTTCCTCCAATGCTTTCATTTCACTATGAATAAGATAGCTGACACCACAGAACTGACAGACAGTGTCATCTTTTGGCATCTCCCGGATTTCTGTAGGGAGGGGATGCTCGGGAACGAATCGTTCCATTGCAGTGCAGAATTTCTGTTTGAACTAGGTCATCATTGTTCGATTTCTGCAAGATGACAGATAAACGTATAGTAATTAATTAGTCATTCAAAAATGACTTATCGGTTTGATAATCATGAGACGAGGATATAAAAATTACTTTCATCTGGTCAAAAAAGCATTGTCAGGCTTTGGAAAAATATCTTAATAAGTAGACGAAAAACATCACAACATGTGTAATTTCGAAGGAAATTAGTTTTCGTTCGGCTCACCTGAAACTGCTCACCATCTGACTATTTACCCTTAGTTAAATTTGATGAAATACTTATAATTCCAGTTATTCAACAAATATACGTCCTTATTCATCGTTCAAGCGAACGATAAATTTGAAATCAAGACAGATCAAAACACCGCACCAGCAAACATGGCGTCCATGGCGTCCTGTTTCTAAGGAGCCAATGGTATGCATTCAGCGGGTTCACTCAACAGCATTAGTTTTGTTGTGATGAAAAGCTCTGAAATGTCTGTCATTAAACCTTCCATGGCGGCCTAGGATTCAGAGTTCTTCGCAATGTGACCTTATGATGGCAGATAATCCTGAAGAAAATATCATGGATGCCGAGGGTAACTATAAAAAAATCGACGTAGGCCGGAGCAGATATCCTTACTGCATTGTCTGGACACCAATTCCGGTGCTTACGTGAGTATATTTATTTTGAAGAGTCTCTAGATGTGTACACTGTTCTGAAATTATTTCGTTCATGTGATCAGGACCCAGTTGTTCGAAAGGCGGCCAGCGATAATCCAGGATTAAAGGTTCAACGTGTCCTTGATTTCCCGTGAAAGAAAGCGTATATATCAGGGCTTACGTTTTAAGCGGGTTTGCCTTAGCCTAATACGAAACTGAGGAAAAAATATTATAAACACTTGAAACTGCCGGCTAAACTATAAAACTAAAATTAATACGAAATTGTTGGCCAACCCTCGGTTAGCTTAATCGTGCTGTGAACACTGATTGGGATAGAGAGAATTCTGGAAATCAAAGAAGTAGCTATTCAGGGCTCTTATTATTAGTTAGGTTAAATTATGTGCGAAAGATAAACATGGAAAGATTTGCTTGCTTCCTAAACATAGTAGCATAATGATCAAGTTTAAGGAAACCTTGTTTACTTGTTTTTAATCTTAACTAGTAGAAACCAAACTGATCTTTATGTATGCTCGACTATGAGGATCAACAAATTCAAATTCCTTATGTCCCATGGACAAGTTATATATTAAGTAATTTAAGTCTCCTAGAGGAGTAAAGATGAAAGTGCCAACACCACCCTCCTCCTACCTAGAAAAAAATATGTTTTTCTTGCATCCTGCTCCTTGAGATAAGGAAAAATAAATTAGAGTCTCGATGTATCTTGTCCAGGGACTGGGGGGGGGGGGTTAATGAGGCAAGGGAAATGAAATGGAATGTACCCTCAATGCAAAGTTAATGTTGCATGACTGGGAAAGTCCAATGGGACCTTTTAAAGAAGATATACAGTCAGTGGTTTGAGAAAACAAACCTGACACAAATAGGTAATTACAAATAGCAGGCAAGTAGTTTTTACACTTTCTTCAGCCAGTCTTTTTGTTACTCTTTTGCCAATTAACTTTTTTATTGACATCTCTAAGGTGGCTTTTTCCGTTCATTGGCCATATGGGGATTGCCATGTCTTCAGGTGTAATAAGAGACTTTGCTGGTCCATTCTATGTTTCAGTAAGTCACCTGTGTCATTTGTGCAAGTAAACATAATTATTCCATCTACTTATGCTGTGGTTTAACCATTAATTTTTGAAGTTTGCACTAAGCACAACCTTTAAGTTCCAGATAAAAACATATAGATTTTGAAATAATAACAACAAGAACAATGAGCATTCCTTAACATGTCTTGCACTTTTATTTTCTCAAAAGGAAGACGATATGGCCTTTGGAAGACCCACAAAGTAAGTTGTTTTGCACAGCTGATTGTACGTGTGTATCTTATTTTCAGACATTTCATGGCTCAGTTCTACCAAATATCAAAGAATGAGCAAGACATTTTGATAATTTTCTGTATAATGATGATCCTACTGTTGAATCACAGGCAGCCCAAGCAAACTGTGTATGATTTTGGGGTCTGAAGGTCATTAACAGGAGAACGCAATATATTAGGATTGAATTTTAAGGGTAAGCATGTGCGGTAAAAAAAGAAAGGTAGTTAAAATAGATAGAAAAAAAAAATAAAAAGGATAATGAAAGCAAGAAATAGAAGGCATTAGGTCTCCCTACTTTTGTTCCATAGCTGCCCTGTTGCTTCTGGTGGTTTTAAGGCATTTTTCAACTTTCTTTATACTGTTGTTGTGCTACTAATACAGTGTATGGCACATGCTTATAAATGCTTAAATTTCAATTTAAATATATTAGGTACCGGTAAATCCAATTAGTGACCTCAAAACTAAATCACACACTGACAGTACGCTTGGGCCACCTGTGATTGAATCTGGACTGAAATGTCTAGGCAGAACAATCGAGATGATTAGAAAACCAGGAAAGTTTTTTTTAGAATACAAGTTTATCTTTATAAGGAATTAATAACCAAACACAATTTACTTACAGATATTTACGTCTAAATCCAGCAAAAGCTTCTAGTCTACAAAACAGCTGGGATGTGGCCATTTCATCTGCATCAGAGGAATACAAACACAGAATGGTGAGCATGATCTGACAAGTTAGCAGAGTGAAAAGTTATTATGATCATTATATTACAGTAATAATAACTAACTTTCTTTTTTTTAATTCATTTTTCAGCATAACCTTTGTTGTGATAATTGCCACTCACATGTTGCCATGTCACTGAATATGATGCAGTATGAAAGGTCATCCTCCTGGAACATGATTAAGCTTGCCTTTAACATGTTTATTTTTGGGAAATTTGTCAGGTATATTTAGGGGCTTGCCTTTAACATGTTTATTTTTGGGAAATTTGTCAGGTATATTTAGGGGCATTTTTGTATTCACTTCCCTTGCTTACTACCACTCATGNAGGCTAATAGGGATGTGCCATTGGATGGGGGTGCATTTTCACAACCAGGGTGGGATTGGTGCGATTTTGGGATTTTGGGGGATACAAAAATTCTGGTGGTTTAAAAATGGGAAGATTTGCAATGCAAAGAGTTGTTACCATATAACCAAAAGTGACTAAGATGGATTTTATAATTGGCGAAGGAATAGATTATAATGGGGTAGGGGTTCTGAGAGACCCCAGCAAAAATTTACCCATGCACCCTCTCCAGGAAACTGTTAATCTTGGTTCAAACATAAACTTTGGAGGTTGCATCACAACAAAGATATTAGATTTATGGCACCATGCAAGAAACACAGGTCCTATAGTTGTCACTCATGAAAGCAAGTCTCCCTGTTCCATGAGACTCTCATTTACGGGTATAATGGATGGAGGTCTTCAAACATAGTCTTACACTCCATTGGTGCTCCGAACACGATAGGATTGGATAAAAATATTACTAGGAATCAAGCCAGTCTTTCTATCTATCGAATTTTCTTTAATTATTTGCTTGATTCACGTAAAAACTGAAAATTACAACAAAACACCTATTACTACTGACGACACAAAACAGGGGGCACATCACGATACTAGAAAATTGCTAAAATTAATATTTTGAATCACTAGCGATACAGGCAGTAATATTGAATCCAAATATAACTAAATCGACAATCATGCACAGTAAACTGCAAATCAAACCTCTTTCTCCAATCTTAATTCTTATTCTTTCGGTCTTTTATCCTTCGTTCTGTTCATTCTGGTCACATGTGTTTATGGAAAAAGGCTAATTTTATCTGGGTATCTAATGCTCCTTGCGTGACAACGGAAGTTACGTGATCACTCTTAACTATTACACATTAATCAGTTACAATGGGCACAAGGTTCACATCTTTGTCTTTTCCTATTGCATGATATCACCAACAACAGAGTAACAGCTTTCTTTTATTTGTTTGCAGTTTGGGTGCATTCCTGAAGACATGGCTTCCATTCACTGTGGTTTTAACTGGGATAATACTTCTTGTTGTTCTGATTTGAATGTCATGGACAAAACAAATATAAGAGTGATGTAAATATAAATGTTATGTTAGGGATATAACTTATTAGTTTTTGCCTTGGAAAATATTCAAGACAGTGTTGTCTGGAAACCTTGTAATGTCTTTCTGACAAATCTATAATAAGTCATGTGATCAATTAGTTATCATTATGTTCATGGAACATTTGTATTGGATGGTGTAAATCATAAGCTGTTATTTAATATATGTAGTAGGTGTATGTGTATAGTTCTAGAACAGGTCACAAGAAGACAAAAGTAGTCTTATCCAGGCTTTAAGAATCAGTTTTCAAAACTGAAAGAAAGGACTAATTGTTGAAAATTGAGCTCGAGAACCCACTTTTTTTTCCCATTTAATAAAAGTAGTACTTAGTAAATATCCAGAGCTGTTGAATGTTGATGGTTATCAAATAATTTATAGGTCTTTCATTGCTGTACCTCGTTTAATCTTAGGAATTGATTATTATACTGGTCTGTGTTATCTTTGTTTAAGAAATATAAATATTTCCATTCAGTTAATAGTTTTTGATTTGTTAAAGATGTATAAAGGTGCACCGGTAATTGTTATTTGTTAGGTCTGCATACAAGCTAAGTCACACCCTCCTCCACCTTACCTCACCCCCACTTGAAGCTCCTTGTGGATGGGATGCCAGTCCATAGCAGGTTACCCCTGGCCATTATTTTGTCAGATTTCCTTGATGGTTTGCCTGTAATTATTCATAGCATAATGGGTAGAGAGGGGCTTTAAGAGATTAACTCATCTTGTCCAAGAACTCAACACTCAACTCTGGCCAGGTTTTGAACCCAGACCTTTTGTTTCCAAACTCAGCACACTTACCTTAAGGCTACCATATCTCACATTTGGAAAGCAAGGATTGAATAGGCAAGGTCAAAATCTGTTTTCCTGCTATTCCCATTAAAGCATTACCACTACATAACCATGATTGAAGCATCAGTTGTCTTAAGCCCAGTGCAAGTTTCCATAGATTCATCATTGTTGCCGTAAATTCGTCATTCTGAGGGTACTCAGGTTGTTACAATCTTGATGTAACCTGTGACCTCTAAGTGTTACTAGACAAGCTTTGAATTTCTCTTTACAATCTCATCCCTGAATCACACATCAAGGTCACAAGAATAAAGGAAATGATCACATATTTACGAAGCACTAGATTGTTTAAGGAGAATATGTATACGATTATTAGGGTGTAAAAGGTTTTATTAAAAACTGGATCATTGGATAATGCAATTCAAGACTTTTTATTGTCTTAGCCATTATGGTATCTGGGCCAATATACCCTGATCTACAAATATGGTAAGCGCACATGTCAGCTTAAAATTAAAAGGGAGCTAAAAAATTGAATAAAATTTAATAATTTAATTTAACGTTTTCAATAAAACAATCATTCCATTCACGTTTGCTGGACATGAGATGATTAAAGCCAACTAGGCGCTATGCCAACAATCTACACACAGTTTCTTATGATGACATAAAATATTTTTGCATGACCCTCTTCCTGCAACTTATTAGTTTTAGAATGGATTGGAGTGATGGAATCTCTGTAGTTATTTCTGAAAGCTCTATCTTATAGAGAAGCAGGTGCCCAGTGTAAACCCTACTAACCTACAACCCCTTTTTCTCTACCACCTCGCCCTGTAGAAAAATTAAAAACAAAGTTCTCTTTTCTTACATGGTTCTGAAATCATTTCTCGGAACACTGTGAAAATGACCCTTGATATTAATTCAGAAAATGACTGGATGCACTCATCCACTAAGTGACAACATTGTTACTACAAGAAATACAGAGTACATGTTAAGAAGATCAGAAAATATTGTTATTCCTAGGTTTCAATCTCGTTATCTAGAACAGTCTGTCAGTTACAGGGTGCCTTCCTCTAGAATGCAATATTGCATCCAGGCATCTGGACATAGTCACGCTGAACGTTGGTCTTTAGACTCCAGACTGAGTAAAATACAAGTACTAAGAGATTTCCATTTCAAAGCAACATCTGCCTCAACTTTCAACTTTAGTAATAACGATTTTATATATTTTTAGGACTTTTAGCACTTAATCTTGAGGGTATTACAACCGTAAATTATTCTAAAGTTATCATTTTATTATATGTAATTGTACTTTCGAATTAGATGTACAACCCCATAAGCGCTAGCTTATGGGGTTGTACATCTTCATTGTGCTGAAATAAAGGGGATGGATGGATGGATGGATGGATGAATGGATGGATGGATCTGTGACCCATAATCCAAGGCCATAACTCTTCTGTACTTCCCTAAATTTTTCTAGCGCATGGAGAGATACCTCTCTTTCTTTTCTCGGACATCTATTGAGTAACGTTCCTTTTCAAGTTTGGTGGATGAAAAACACATCTCATTGAGATATTGTAGAGGCTGTTTGCGAAGACCTGCTTATTTCATTTTTACATGTGACAGTATTAATGGAATGCATGCTTGTAGATCAGTAAGAGGACAGACGCGACCTTGGATAGACACTTGTGTTACTTTCGTGACCTCAATACGTGACCGGATGTGACAACTCCCACCTACATTCTTCCTCGCGTGACAAATTGGGCGAGGTGGGGAAGTCTGGAACCAATAAAATCTCGTTCACGACATTTGTCCCCCATATACCTGCAAGTAACCTTTGTTGGTAATACCCGCGACCTAGTCATCATGACGTTTTCGAAAGCGAAGAGTTTGTTTGAAATTTTCTTATGTCTTTCTTTCACTATCCTTGTCAGCGCATCAATGGAAGGTAGGGTGAAATAACTTGCTTCTTTTCAGGGCTTTCACAGGTTAGATTAAAAAAAAAAAAAAAAAAAAAGAAAAAAATCAGCGCGCGGCAATAAATCGACAGTAGTAGGATCCTCCCACTGCTTCATTATGCATACAGTTTTCTAGATAAGAGTGGTAACCATGCGTAGATCATTAGGAGTCAGAACACAGTAGAAACAGAATAGGCAATCTATTACTATTAGGGGATTAAGAAGAACATATCATTTCCTCAACTGTCGGGATAAGTTTTTAAGCAGTGCATGTATGTATGAGGCGATCGACAAAATTATTTGGATATATCATCAAAGTTGAAATGGTAAATTAGCCACCGTAATGATTACAAAAGCTGACGTTTCGAGCGTTAGCCCTTCGTCGGAGCGACAAAATTGTTGGACTTGAATTTTAGGTCTTCATATTGTGATACAGTATTTGGGTGACCATTCACAAGAGTGCTTCCTCGTAAATTACATGGGTACGCTTTGCCAAAACATTCAGTCTAGTCAATTTTACGCGCTATATTTAAATTGCGACATGATCACGTGATTTAATATACTCTACTGCTGAGGAAACTAGAAACATAATTGAGTCGAATGACTTGTATTTAGGAAATTGTTTAAGGGATGCCTATGATCGATCATTCGATTGTAGATTGACAGCCGAAAAGTCCGATTGATGGTTCGATTTATCATTTTATTGGTATAAGCCCTCTTAAAATCGTGCCAGGCTGTAACTTTAAAATATCAAAACACTTCAGAGCATGCAGCATGCAGTAAGAGCAGAAAAATGTCATTTCCGACCCATTAAAATATTAAAACACTTCACAGCATGCAGCATGCAGTGAGAGCAGAAAAATGTCATTTCCAGCCCGCTCTCGCCCCCTCATATCAAAGAGGGGGCGAGAAATTCTTTCATTGAATTTTTCTTTTCTGAGACTAGGCAGGAATTATAGTAAAATTGTTAAGCAAAGTAGTACGCATATGAGTCACTTAATTTTTTCTTGCTATTTTTTCTTTTCAAAATAAAAGAATTATGTATTATTTGAAGTCACACAGCGTAACCCAAGCCCGAACCGTGACCAAGCCTTCGAAAATATTTTTGTTAC